GGTGGATATAGCTCGCTAGCAGCCTCGCACCGAGGACCTATCCACATCATCATTTACCCAGAATTCTTTGTGTGTGAATAAAATGGTCCTGTCCATGTACTATATTTTTAAACTTTTAGGTTAAAAATTATAAAAACTAAACATCCTACATTATTTTTAGTCTTTAGTTTACAGTTAAAATAAATGTTTAWTAAATAAAGTCTAAWGTTACAACTAATAGGGGATCCTTTTAAGGAACCACCACTGAGATCATATTCTGTTGAGAAAATGAATTATATACAGTTTGGTTAAACTTTGAAAATTGCAATATCTTGCAACATCTTTTAATGCTCAGAATACGTGCTGTACCGGTAAATTGTTTTCGTCCACTACCAATAACATTTTGTGTCCTAGGCTGCCGAGCCGTGTGGATGGTACAGGTTTTGTGGTCTATGACGGAGCTGTGTTTTACAACAAAGAGCGAACACGCAACCTGGTCAAGTACGACCTGCGCACACGCATCAAGAGCGGTGAGGCGGTGGTGGTCAATGCCAACTACCAYGACACCTCTCCGTACCGCTGGGGAGGGAAGTCGGATATCGATCTGGCTGTGGATGAGAAYGGCCTTTGGGTTATTTACTCGACTGAAACCAATAATGGACGCATTGTGGTCAGCCAGGTAGGAGGAACAAAAAACAAATCARTGACAAGAGTGTGAAATAGAAAGAGGTAAGGGAGGAGGGATTTTTTAAATACACAACTGTTCCTGTCTTACCAGGTGAACCCATACACTCTGCGTTTCGAGGGAACATGGGCCACGGGCTTTGACAAACGTGGGGCAAGCAACGCCTTCATGGCCTGTGGCGTGCTCTACGCTGTGCGCTCTGTCTTCCAGGATGATGAGGGTCAAGCAGATAGTCGGGCCAGCAGCAATATGGTGGTGTACGCCTACGACACCAGCCGGGGCCAGGAGCTGCCTGTGCAAATACCCTTCCCCAACCCCTACCAGTACATCTCATCTGTAGACTACAACCCCAGAGATAACCAGCTGTATGTGTGGAACAACTACTACATGCTGAGATACCCTCTACAGTTCACACCTCCACCTCCAACCAAAGGTCTGTAGGGTAACAGTTGTACTGAACACACATAAATTTRCAGATCTTTGACTTTGTCGTCATCTTTGCAGGCCCCCTCTCCTCACTGATGACCACCGTCCGGTCCTACACAGCCACAGTTGCTTTGACCCCAGTGAGGCCATCGGCTGCACACCCAGTCGGCGTTATCAACAGGGGCCCCTTTGACCAGCGGCCAATCACAGCCATGGTTCCCCTGACCCCACGCCCTCCTCTGCGGGTCCCCCTGGCCCCCGGTGGGCCCGGTCAAGTGGGTGGATGTGAGGGACGAGTAGCACGAGGCGTTCAGTGGCCCCCAACCTTGAAGGGAGAGACAGTRGAAAGGCCATGCCCAAAAGGGTCTCTGGGTAGGTGAAACATGTGTTTGTTCATATGTAAGCGTGCCAGCGTGTGTGCTGTTTGTATGTCTGTGTGTGGATCACATTTCCCTTTGAAATGTAGTCGGATGTCCTGTCTTTGAACTCCAATGAGACAGAAAAGTCAAAGAGGGGCTACAGTGTGCAGAAACGCTGGGTTTGGCAACTCGCTACGCAGCTGTCTCTCTCAACCCAGCTTTTCTCTGATAACAAACAGATTATGCTCATAATCCTGCCATGCATTTTGCTTCTTGCTAATCATGTCAAATCATTTGGACATGGTTTCAACACAGGGCTAATGCTCATACTAAAATCATTTTATCTTTATCATGTTTACAAGTGACAGCAGGTGCATCTGTTGTGTTATTCTCAYATTTAATTTGCAGAATGTGTGAGTAACAGATGCTCTGTTTTTATTCCTGTAAACAAAATAAAATTTTAATGAATGTATGCAACTGCTGAGCAGATCTTTCAGTGTGTTACACTTAACTCAGTGAATAATCAGCTCACTGCTGTTGTGAAAAGCTTTTCAGCATTTTTTTTAGCCAATAGTGTTGGTTTTACTGTGCTCTAGTCTGAATTCAACCAAATGTGAGATAGACCACTTGCGGAACAAATCAGCCAGCCTGGGGGTGGGGCAARTGACCGGGCCCTTTAAACCAAATAATAAAGCTCATGATAACATCATTTTACAACACACACACGTCTGCAACAGCAAGGCTTACAAACTTCAGCACCACAGAGAGCGACACTAGCTGTGTTTCCACTGACCAAGAAAATGCGCAAATTAGAATTTTGAAAATAAATTTGCTCAATGGAAACACGTCAATTTCGAAAAAAATTACATTTTTTAACAAAATGTTTTTTTGCGCTAGGATGATGTGGTTTTTCGGCTTTATCGAAGTTGGTGTTTTTCGCGAAACTGCAATGGAAACACTTTTTTCGCATCACGGGAGTCACGTGATCAACAACCGGCTGTTTCTACTGGCGAAAAAGGTGCCAATGAAGATAACAGGAAGTAGAAGTAGTAGTAATATCACAGAAGTAGTAAAATAAAGTAGTAAACTCACCAACTACAATTTTCCAAAAACACAGCATACATAGCCAACAAACCAAGAAAACGATTAAAACATTCARCTACTAATGATAAAACAACACAAATTCATAACAGTTCAGCACCACGAATAGGGATTGGATCGTTTTGACTCAAGCTTTAATTTATTTAAACTCAGAGCCTGTATCAGTAGCTAAAGTTCAGTAAAACTGGTACAGCAGCCCACATGTTCACAAACAATTTCAAAAAGAAGTACTTTAGGCCTACTCACCACTATTGAAGAGCATCCGRCGAGCCTTGTGCTCTGAGAACTCGTCGCGATGCTCTGTATTTTCTTTGATCTTATTCTCTATGGACAACAWGAGTCCTCTCAGTCTCTCCTGTCCCACTGTGTTCCTCAAGTGCAGCATGTCAAGTTGTACAGATTGTCTGTAAATTTTTCCTTTTTTGCAGGTATACTAAGACCAATCTCTTGGATTTTTTCAAATTGTACAGATTTTTTTCAAATATTTTATTTAACATGTCAGAGTCTGTAGACCGTTAAAAAACCAATAAATAACATCAAACAACCATCTTACAACCTGCTCTGCCACTATAAATAAGGTATCCCCTCCCTCCTCATTTCCACCTGTGCCATGGCAGGCCATTTTAACATTTATTAGCTTGACTGCATCTATTTCAGATAGCTCAAATACATTTATTACTAGTCAAAATGAGCATTCCAGACATCTAAAACAAAGTATATATA